GGGGGGTGGTCGCTCGCTGTCGCACGAACGAGGTAAGCCCACAGGACGACGTGCGGTAGGTTTAGGTGCTCCGAGGTAACCCGCGGCTCTGCGAGCAGTTCCGCTGTGTTTCACGGCATCGCTGCGAGCTAAGAAAAGGTCGGAGGGGTGAAGCTGCACGCCCTGTAAGATTTAATGCTGTGGCTTTTTTTTTTCCTCTTGGTGCCTGAGGAAGATCCTTCATCAATATTTCTAAGATTTCAAGCACAACAGACAGACCAAGACTTCACCCAGACCTAATTCCGTAATGTTTGTGCTCGGTAAGCGATCCCGCTGAAGACGTGTCTGCCCAAACGCTGCAGAATCAAGCCGTTAGCTGAGGACAAACTCCCGTCTCTGGGAGTTAACGGCAAAACGCGCATTGATTTCAACGGGACCAAGGATTCGTTGGGTAAAAACCGGGACCGGGCTCTAACCCGACCTGCTCCGTGGTCTGTTCGCAGGCGGCTGAGCAGTTCTGGCTACACGACAGGGGAAGAAACCCGTCACCCGCACACGCGCTACCTGAAACGGAGACCGGCACAGGCGGAGCGGGACCTGCTGTAAACATCTGCTGAACCGGAGCCATTTCTCCGTGCGCCCCGCTGCGGCCTGGCCGAATCCTCCGGCCTCGGCCCTACCGAAATGCGCGGTTCCCCGCCGACTCCAGAGCGCCTGTCCGGTTAAATCCCCGCTCCCGGATTCGCTTTGCTGCCCGGCGAGGCGCGGGCAGCATCCACGGGGCCGGCGGGCCGAGCGCGGCCGCTCAGCACGCCGCGCGTGCCGCGGGAGCCAGCTGCCTGCCGGTTATCTCGTACAGCATTTCCGCGATGAGCTCGACGATGTCCGCGTTGCCGATGACGGGTCGGAAGAAGAGATCCGTGATGAGGGCAGGAGGGATCGATTTTAAGGTGGAGAGCATTTCCGCGATGAGCTCGACATTGTCCGCGTTGCCGATGACGGGTCGGAAGAAGAGATCCGTGATGGGGGCGGGGGGATCGGATCGATTTTAAGGTGGAGCAGCAAAATGTTTTTTTTTCCGGGGGAATCCGACGAGGGAGAAGAGGAAAAGCCGGTGATGAGGGAGGCTGGAAAACAGCCCCAGGTTTCTCCCATTCCCGCCCTTCCCCGTTTCTCGGAAGGGATCTCCGGGGCCGCGCTACCGAGATGTACGCAGCGCTACCGAGACGCGGCCATTTCAGGGCTGCCGTTTTGAGGGAGCGAATGAAGTTAACCGGGCAAACTCACGCTTTACAAATTAAATCCCGGGGCCCTTTATTGTCCGCAGGGCAGGCAGAGGTCTCTGGCTTTTACCACTCCGTGTGACGTCCCTCCTCCCCGCTTCCCGGGGCATTTTGTAACGATGGGTGTTGAGGATAAGGTAACCAGCCCTCCCCGCTCTCACGCCTGCCGGCGCTCTTGAACGTCTACAAGCCAAGAGGCGCCAACGGGTGCGGGACGTGCTCTCCCGCCGGCAGGCAGAGCCGCGAGGGCCGGGCACTCACCGGGATTGAAGAGAACGGCTCCCTTCAGGTAGGCGTATTCCTTGGGGCTCAGGTCCAGGCTCCAAAAGGTGTTCAGGCAGCACTGCAGGCGCTGCACGGCGGCCAGCGTGGGCTGCGTCCGCTCGGGCTCCCGATGTTTGCTTTGGCCGTCGAGGAGGATCTTCTTGAGCATGCTGGGGGCCGGGGTCTCCATCACCTCGAAGGTCACCATCTCCTGGACCAGCCCCAGGAGGAAGAGGGGAACCCAGCAGCTGTCCAGCAGCAGGAGCTGATCCTCTCGCGGCAGCAGGTGGAAGGAAGGGAGGTTTTTCATGAAGCTGATGGTTTTTACCAGCACGTTGGAGGCCGCCCGGCAGGTGACGTGGGGTGTGCGGAGGCAGACGGTCCGGCGCTGGTGGCAGAGGCAGCGCTGGTGGGCCGGGCTGCGGCCGCCCCGGCCGTGGGTGAGGTTCTGGCTGAGGAGGGTGTAGAGGATGGCGGTGCGTTTGTCTTCGCTGTGGCACTGGCACCCCTCACAGTCCACGTCCATGCCGCTGGTGGTCATAGCCGAGCCGGGCGGCCGGATCCTCGGCAAAACTCGGCTCCTGCTACAGCAGACGGGAGAGAGAGAGAGACGTAAAATCCCTCCCAAACCCTCCGTCGCAGGCTGGATTCTCCCCGTCCTCCCAGCTCTGCCAGCGCACGGCTGCTCAGACCGGCTCTTATAAGGCTGGGTCACCAGTGCAACACCCCTCCACAGCCTTGACCGCTCTGTGATTAAGCGGGCCTCGTTAAAAGGTTGTTCTCATTCGTTAAACGTTAAAAGGAAAAAAAAAAAAAAACAACAAACCACCGAACCCGGCCGTCCCTGGGCTGATTGGCCGAGGGCTTTTTGGGCGGCGGGGCGGGCGGGGCGGGGGGGGGGGAGGGGGACGGCGGGTTGGGTGGCCTTATCGCGATTACCCAAACAGTATAAACAAAGTCATTAACCCAGCCCGTACCATGGCACCAAGGCCCCGCGCTGTCATCGGGCAGCGCTGTGTGGCAGGCGTCGCTGCCGGGAGGTTCACACACACGCAGAGGGCGAGTGCACTCGTCTGGGCCCTGCGTTCCGACGGCCCCTGCGCTCCGGCCTTGGAACGAGCAGCCTGGGAGCCGTTTGATCGGCGGGGCGTGTGTTTGCCTGACCTTGCCGACAGGAGGCTGGGGTTGTTACGGCCGAGGGAGAGGAAGCCGGCGAACCCACGGGGGCCGTAGCAGTCAATCCCGGGCAGGGCCCATCGGTTCGCCTCCACTCGGAGGAAACGCAGGGCAGGGGGGAAGGGCAAATTCTCAGATTTTTTTCCCCCTGGAATTACCGGGTATTTTAATCCCTTGAGCGGCAGAAACCGAGACAGGAATTGAGGGGCTTCCGATCACCCGTTTCCAGGGGGCTGGTGGCAGGGCGAGGGATTCCTGCGG